GTTTGAGAGAGTGAATCTCAAGAGCCAGGATACCTACACTCGTATAGGTACGATGAACAGTCACGAAGTTTCAAGCAGAGAATGCGAGAGTTTGTTTGTGCCTGGGCAAGTGCTTGGTCGTACTGCGGACCTCGCGGTCTTGGTGATCTCCGGGACCCATGTCCGTGCCTCCTTCTCCCTCTGAAGTACCTCTCCTGCCTGCCATGGATCTTCGTTCTGCGTTCCTCCTTCTCGCTGGGGCAATGAACAGACAGCAGCAGGCAGCGACTGTAGGTAGGTAGGTGGGTTCTTTCCGGCAGGCCCCCAGCCTGCTTGCTGCTACCCAAGGTGAGGTACCTTACCTTACCTTGGTACCTACCTACCTACCTACCTGACCTAACTAGGTGGGTACGTACCTGAGGTACCCATGGTGCATAGGGCAGGTCGCTATGGCGCCCCGGGTACTCTGGTGCTGTTGGCGCTGCCGTTGCTTGCTTGACACGTGCTAAAACACCAGCCCAGACCTCATTAAGGTTGTTTTGATCTCCCTCTGACACGACAACTGGAAGAAACGAAAAACCCAAGCACTCGGCTGGATCCCCCCCCCCCTTCCGACTCATGCCGCCTCGAGTCGCAAGCTCAAAAGCCACACCCTCCCCCCCCCAGCAGCAGCCCCCTCTTGGTGTAACAGGACACGTCTTGTCCTTCATGCTTTGAAAGACGAGTAGCGGGAGGGGGTTCGTCCCTTCTCCGCCGCGAACCTGCATGCGTCATTTTGCGTCGCAGTGAAGCTGCTCGTTGGCTGCATTCCCGCATTGTATGAGTCTCCTGAGCTCCAGTGCGGACAGGCGGCCTGCCGAAAAAGCCGTTCGTTCAGCCCAGGAAAGGGAGCGAGCGGGGATTGAGCTTGTTCGGTGCTTGAACCAGAGGCTTAATGTCCGCCCATCCTCCCCTGGTACATGGTATTGAGCTACATGTACACCCTACCTACCCTACCTGACCTACCTTACCTACCTGTAGGGTACCTGGAGGAGAGGGGGGAGGGGGGGCGCCGTAAGGTTCAGGTAGGTAGCGTGGTTGCGTGTCAGGAGATTGCCAGGTCACCAGCGCTGACATGCTGACATGCTTGCTACAACCCAACTATCATGTGCCATGTCCGTCTACGTCTAGATTGGCGCTCCGATGCTTGTGTTTGCTGGCCGTCTTTTCAGCGGTCAGTGGTCTAGAGTCACAAGTAGAACCTCGTCATTGCCCGGTTTTCGCTGCCTCGAACGTGAACGAGAGCATGGATATGCGTCTGTCGATACCTAAATAGTCGAGTCACTTTTGCGCCGCCTACAATGGCACAGGCAGTCTTGACTTTGCGAGCACAGAAAATCATCTCATCATTGTTCCCCTCCGTCTTGCCTGGCTCTACAACCCTAGATCATCGCTACCGACCATCACCCTCCCCGTCAACGAGCCTCTGCAAAGAAAGGCTTGACCTAATGTTCGTAGACAGACGGCATCCGGACAACCAGGGGGTCTTACACACCTCCACCACCGCCCCCCTCCCCAACCATCTCCTCGTGTTTCCAGTCAACAGACCAGGCTGCACAGTTCACCTCAGCTCCAGCAGAGGTAGGGGAGCACAGCCATAAGGTATTGTACATTATCTTTTTTGACATACGAGGACAACAAAATGATAAAGCCCGCGCAAGAAAGCAATGGAAATGAAAACCAAGAAATGCATAAAACGAAGGCGAAGAAACAAGAAGAAGGCGAAGAAACAAGAAGAAAAAGATGAAACCATCGATGATGCCCTTGCATCCTTCTTCCGAAACGAGGGAAAAGGGTATCAGGCCAATAGCTCCAACACACTCGCCTGCTTGAGTTTTGTGATGGTGACTGCATCGCTACAAATCCCTGCCAGTCAGTCCTTGCTCTCAGAGCGCGTCGTAGTGAGTGAGGTGTGAGGACCGGGCCTGCGGCTGAATGGATACGGGGAAAAAAGTGCAGAAACTGTTGAGCGAGCGATTCGTGCGTGGGTTGCGTGCGTGATCATGGTTCAGACGTGGAATCGTGGTAGAAGAAGCGACAGGCATCAGCACAACACTTGCTTCCAATGTACACGGGGGGCTAGAACCCCCCCCTCCCCTCCCCTTCTCGCCCATCATTCGCGTCCCCCGACGACGGCGGTCAGGTGGAGAAGCGCGAGTTCATACGCCGGAGCACGCCTGTCTAGGGTCGCTCCGGTCGGCTTTTGCTCTTCGATGGCTCGCCGACATCGCCGACCCCTTCTTCAACGTCAAGCCGCTTGCGCCAGTCGGCCAGACTCTCGCTGAGCCCGATGCCACCCTCGTCATCGCGCCGAGCGGGCGCCGCAACCGTGTCAAAGTCGAACGTGTTCTGAAATTGTAGTTTCTTAATCGTGGCCTCCCAATGCGTGCGCAGGTTATCGTGTTCTGGTGAAAGGATTGTCGAGCGCCATGCTGTTCC